TGAGCTGTGTGGTCAGGGGTGTGGCCCAATATGCTAATGAGTTCCTGCTGTTGGGTGTGGCCTATTATGCTAATGAGTTCCTGCTGGGCTTTTTCTACAAAAAGAGCACTGCCCAAGCTCATCCAGCAGCTGCAAGTGGAGGAGTGGGGAATTAAACCCGGTTCTCCCAGATTAGAGTCCACACACCTAGCCACTACACCAAACTGGCTCTCCAGAAACCGGCTCTCTACACCAACCACTACACCAAACTGGCTCTCTATACCGTACAAGGCTTCACAGTGTGTGGCAAAGGCAATATGGGATTCTTTCTGCCCAACGGACCACACCAGCATGGCCTAAACAGTCCTGAATTGCACCTATATTTCCATGTCGCCACAGGGTGGAGCCACACGACTGCATTTGCCATGAGCAAGCAGTGACAGATGAGACTGGGGGGAAATTATTATAGCAGGGAAATGGAAAGAGAGAGAGTGCTGCATGTAAACTGATTAAGCAGAATCATTCATAGGTGTCTCTGCATTAAAAACAACGGAGACAAATGTGTTGATGTCGATTCCATCCTGAAGGGGAAATGACAGATTGCTGGCCTTGAGAAGCAAGCAGCTATTTAAGATAAATTTTGTACATGAATCCACTGCCTGTCACGTGGAAACATCTCCCACAGCAGAATGCATACATAATCTGTGTGTAAAATGCAAATAAACATGTCAAGGTTAAAAATAACCAAAGTTTAAGAGTTGCAGTGTGTGAAGGGGGGGCGCGAAGAGAGACTCTTGAAGTGCTGCTATCTTCATTTCGTTATAAACTTCCAGCCATTTCACATTAACACAGAGCAGCAGTGCTGAGCTCTCCAAGAGACACAGACTATATTTTAGTCACTGCAAACTCAAGGTTGGATTACTGCAATGTGTTGCACATGGGGCCTGCCCTTAAAGTATGTCCAGAACTGGTAGAGAGCACAGTGACCTCCCCGTAAAAGTACTGGGAACACATTCCCAACAACAGACGTCAAGCACCTGCTTTGGCTTCCCATAGCTTTCGAGACACCCTTCAAGGTTCATTTTCTGATCTACAAATCCCTAACCGGCTTGGGCCACTAACACTTGGGAAATCACCTTTCTTATGCTCTTTCAAAAACTCTGAAAGTTGACTGCAGAAGAAAGCAAGAGAATGCACTCTTAAATTCCCTGTTTCCTAATTCCTATCATAAGCCATTCCTATGGGAAAACTCCCCCGAATTCACCATATCATGGCCAGCGGCCTGATTTTCACATGTGTAAATGGATTGGAAGGACCTGCATTCAAATTCCTATACAGCCATGACATGCAGTGAAGTTTGCCATCTCACAGAAATCTCATGGAGGATTTCCTTGATAACATCCAATATTCCCGGAGGCATAATCATAATTTATATGGATGCATCCTGTTCTGGGGAGGAAGTCTTCAGCAAGCAGAGGATCCACATTCTGAGTGGTATTACACACAATGGTGGAATAAGGAAACACTCAGTTTAAGAGCCAACATTGTGTATGGGTTAGAGCGCTGGACTGGGGGTTCAAATCCAGGGGTTCAAATCCTCCCTCTGCCATAAATGCTCAAAGGGTGACCTTTGGCTAGTCACACTCTCTCAGCTTAATCTATCTCACAAGGCGGTTGTTGAGAAGATAAAATGGAGGAGGAAGAACAATGTTATAAGCTGTTTGGCATCCCACTGGAGAGAAACACACACCTGGAAGTATCTAAGAGATAAGGATAGAGCTGAACTGGCTTTAGACCAATCAAGAGTATCCCCTTGTTGGTGATGCTGGAAAGTGGCATCAAGTCACAGCTGAATTATGGCAACCCCATAGGGTTTCCAAGGCAACGGACAATCAGAGGTGGTTTGCCATGGCCTGCCTCTTTCTTGGTGGTCTCCCATCCAAGTACTAACCAGGGCCGAACCTGCTTAGCTTCCAAGATCTGATGAGATCACGCTAGCCCGGGACACCCGGGTCAGGGCACCCTCTTGTTATTTCCATGTAAGAAGAGACTACACAGAGTGCCCCCAGAGTTTTACAATCAATCCCAGGCATCACCTGGAACATGTTAAAAGGCTTCTAGCTGGGCCCGCATGAGGCCAGCGCTTGGAGTTTTTAAACTCAATAGTCATA